TATACTTGTACTAATTATCGTATTTAAATATTATTCATCATTTAATAATTAATTCAAAAGTGACAATATGCTTAACTAGTTTAAATGAAAAATATAGAAGTGTAAAGAATAAAGGTTAATTCAAGGATGTCAAAATTAATAATAGCGATAGGTATTGGTATATGGATTTGGAAATGAATGTAATGAGCCCAGTATGGTTGATCAAATACAACTGTTAGAGTGAAACAATATCGTACTAAACATCAGATCACAAAGTTTTTTTTTGCTATAACCGATTATTCTTAAATGCTTTACCAATTTGAAAATGGTTGATTAGTAAAAATCTCTGCTGACCTTGTTGCGATATTGATATGAACACTTAGACGTTCGGACAATAGCTATCACAAGACGTTTTTGCCATCAGATATCTAGCCAAAAAAGTATAAATAAGGATTCAGAATCTAATATCGATATCAGATTCACAGTAAATAAATGCTTAATTTCTAATTAAGGTTATTTTTGATGATCCGAGATAGATAACAGTCGCCTGATAATTTTTCTTTAAATAATCGTGGTTGCGAAATCCAAACATCTGGATATATCATTTTTTGAGGTGTCAATGAGGTGTCAATATAACCAGAGTAATGTGTCCTAGGTTCTCTTTTGTATTTTTTGGCGTCTTACAGGTATTTACTTTGGTGTTTTTTTAGCCTTTTAGAAATGTTCTTTCTGATATTCTCTTAATATTTTATATTAACACGTATTCTCTATTGACATTTTGCAAATGTCTAACGCATTACAATTGCCTCTAGCTTTACGCATTTTACAGCCGCGCTTCTTAAGGTTATTATTATTATTATTATATAACTTTTTATACCTTTCTTTGCCTATGATTAATAATACTAATTAGAGTTTAGAGCCGGTTTTATTTTTTATATGTTAAAACCGGGTTTAACATATGAGAAATAAAACTGATTCTAAAATCTAATACTAGTTGTAAAATAAAGTTTTGTAAAAGAAAATTTCGATTGTTATTCCTCTTTTTTTTTTTTCTTTTTTTTTTTATTTATTTCTAATTTTTTTTTATATTTTTATTTTTCTGTCTTGAGCCTTGATGTAAATCGGCTCTTGGAGAGGAATTGGAGAACTTCACTTTCTATTTAGAATTAGAATTTGAGTTTGGATTTAAGTTAGATTTTAAAAATTTTTTATTTCGTGACTTTCTTCTTCGTACTTTCGTTATATTCTTTTTAAAAATTTTTTTTACTATGAGGCATAATCTATTTTTACTTATATAGTAATTTATTATAAATGATTTCTAACATCTTTCATTCTATTCATTTCGATGTGAATACCTAGTTTTTCAGAAAACCTTTTGATATTCTGCGGCGTTTTCTTCGGTGCTTCTTTGACACTTACTACTAGCATACGTTTATACCTTAATTTGGATAAAAAATTTCGATCGTGTTTATTTTTAAAGATTATACTCGTCCTTCTGCTCGTATCAACACCATTCCAATGAACCAATTAGAAAACGTTAAAGATTGGCTAGAGTGCGTATATTTATGTTGGTTTAGAGTATGTAACATCCATGTAACTTACATAAGTCACTAATTTTTTAAAAATCTGAACAGGATATACAATTTTACCGTGAAGCATCAGATGTACAATTAGGTAATCGAAAAAGAAATATCGCTATGGTGATGAAGATGAACTTGGAGCTGAACAGGAAGAACAGTGCAGAATAGCACTTCTGAACAAAGAATTCAAGCAGTTTACTGAAAAAGTTGCAGAAGCGGTGAGAAGGTGTTCATTGAAATTGCAAATTTTTATTCCAATAAATTTTAATGATTTTTTTCTTTAGAGCGAAATGGTTTTCAGGGCGTTCCTTTCAGAAATAATGTCTTGTTACAACCTACAACAGAGTGTCTTGTTCATCTTACGGAACTTAGTACCAACTAACCGACATCGAAATCGCACATCTGGAACGCGTTCAGGTTGTTAATACTAATATATGAAATTGTCAAATTAGGGATTAATGTGACGGTTCGTTCTAATAGGATCGTTAATAGTATGATCCTTTCCACCCGAACCCATGAATAGAGACTGGATCGGAAGCCTTAAATTTTTTTGAAGCCGTCGAAGAACCCTTTAACAGCCCTGCTTACAACGTTTCTTCGAATTTATTTCGAAATCTTATAATGTTTTCACCTGGTTACCGGCGTGCACTTTAAGGTTATTATTATAATTATTATATAACTTTTTATACCTTTCTTTTGCCTACGATTAATAATACTAATTAGAGTTTAGAGCCGGTTTTTATTTTTTATATGTTAAAACCGGTTTTAACATATGAGAAATAAAACTGATTCTAAAATCTAATACTAGTTGTAAAATAAAGTTTTGTAAAAGAATATTTCGATTGTTATTCCTCTTTTTTTTTTATTTATTTCTAATTTTTTTTAAAAAATTTTATTTTTCTGTCTTGAGCCTTGATGTAAATCGGCTCTTGGAGAGGAATTGAAGAACTTCATTTTTTATTTAGAATTAGAATTTGAGTTTGGATTTAAGTTAGATTTTAAAAATTTTTTATTTCGTGACTTTCTTCTTCGTACTTTCGTTATATTCTTTATAAAATTTGTTTTTACTATGAGGCATAATCGATTTTTATATATATAGTAATTTATTTATGAACGATCTCTAACATCTTTCATTTTATTTATTTTGATGTTAGCATCTAGGGTTTCCTGAAAATCTTTGGGTATTCTACAATGTTTCTCCGGTCTTTTTTCGACACTTACGACTAGGGTTCTTGAGGTAGAACTGTCCATGTTACATGGAGGATCAATTGGGTTGTTGCTTAGCAAATCGAGGCTTAGAGCCGAATTTTTTATTTGTAAATATCAACGATTAATCATTTTAATGCAAAATTTGGCATTGTGATATAATTAGAATATTGCATAACCCATGTAACTAAAATTCCTCTCGAAATTATATATTGCACACCACTTTCGTTATAGTGAATCCTTGATATAGTTAAACCTAATCAAAGTGCGCTCTCAAGCATCAACCTGGATGTGATTGCACAACGGTTACGCTGTAATTTTAGCTATTCATATAACATTTTAGACACTATAGTGTGAATAGAGAGATATTATTGAAGTATAGTTATTCATATAACATTTTAGACATAATAATTCGAATAGATATTAATGATTGTAATGGTGTTCAATTGCTACGATGAATCAAAATAGACCTCAATTGCAGTTATTATCGATTTATGTGGGGCGTTCTCAAGTGCTTCAATTACAAAGTATGTCAAAAATGTGTTGGGAATTAAATTTTAGGAGAATTTACAAATAAGGGCCCGGAAAGTGAAAATAATTACAAATACGGGCCCAAATTAAAAATAATTACATATGAGGGCCTAATTTTTAAAAAATATTACGTGTAGGGGCCTAAGTCTATTGATGGATGAAAAAACATGATCACAGAACTACTGTGCCACAAAGTACTCTGACCATTTGACTTATAACAACAACAATATCGCAATTATAGGATTATTTGATAGGCATTTATAGTTATCTAGATATCAATTATTAGATAAAAAAAATAAATGAAACGCTGGCTACAATTATTTTCGCTTAAATATTGTATAAAAATAATGTTAAACTAGCACAATTATTTATAAGATGAAGAAGTTTCAATAGAGTAGCGAGCAGAACAATTATCTTCATATTAGTAAATGATATTCCAATTCGCAGTGCTTTATTTGATATCATAGTGGTTTGTTATAACAATAACCGATTTTATACAAGAAAATGAAATTTATTAAATTGAAAAAATTTCTTTTTTCGTTTATAATTACTAATTTACAATCGATTGTTACATTTATATTCTATCAAGCCATAGGATTGAATAATGTCACTGTTATTTTGGGCCCTTATATGTAATATTTTTTAAAAATTAGGCCCTTTTATGTAATTATTTTTAATTTGGGCCTGTATTTGTGATTATTTACACTTTCCGGGCCCTTATTTGTAAATTACCCTAAATTTTATTTAACAGAAAGTAATTTTAATCGATCAATTGAGCTTGTCATTAAGATGAGTAAGGTAGTTTATTACATAATAGAAAAATTTGAATTAGTAAAAAATGATGAGTTTGTCATTTCAGTCAAATTTTTGTCCTGAGCTATCTTATTTTTTGTCTTGCATTATTAAGACTTTAAATATTAAAATGAATAAAGTATGTTCAATTGTTTGGCATATATTTTTTTGTAAAATTTTCAATAAACTATTTAGAATCCTCTTGTGATTGAAATCTTTATTTTGACCCATCATTGTAATTGAGATTTATTGCAATTTTTAAAAAATTACAGTAATAGTACAGCAGGGACAGTGCCTGATCCAAATGAATCTCTCTCATCTGTGATCAATCGCAAATTAAATTATTTATGTTGGATTCAATTGTAATGGATATAATCCCTCATCAGTTTTAATACATGTGTAATATTGATGGTCTTTGCTGTTTAGTAATAGCAATTTTAAGTATATCTCAATAATATCATATCTCAAAATGGTTAAAATTACATCATAATATTTAGATCACACCTGTGATTTATTAAATATCTTCAAAATTTCAAAATTTTTGAAAATTTCTAATGTTTAGTCATCAGGTTACTGATAACAAATTTTTTATTTAATGATAATGTATAAAATAATTATATTATTTAAAAATGTTTTCTTTAATGTAATAATGAATTATATATTCCTTAATTGATATCAATAACAGTTGATCAGTTAAAAGAATTTTTCTATAGTAGAAATTGTTAATTATATCTATCACAATTGAATCCAATATAAATAATTTAATTTGTGATTGATTATAGGTAAGAGAGATTCACTTTAGATTAGGTACTATTTTTGTTGTAAATTTTTTCATTAATTAAAATTTAGTTTGACATATTTTTGTTTTGATCATTGAATAAGATAAGAATATCCAAAATTTTAATATAACAGATAATAAAATTAGATCTTAAAGAGCATTACTTGATATGAAATAGTTAAAGCAAAGTATTTAAATTGTAATTATTCAATTCCATTATAACAATGTTTTATTGATATTTATCAACATTCTTAGCAATAGTTATGTTAATATTGATATAACTAAGTTTAATTTATTTATATATTTTAATAAAAAAAGTTTGTTAAAATTTTTTGTAATAAATTCATGTTAATTTTGTCATAATTGTAACAAATCTTCATGTTAATTCATAATAATTATCACAAATTTGCTTTAGTTTATTTTATCATAATGACAACAATTGAATACTTTAACAATGAATATAATAATTATGAAAATGATATAGTTAATATTGCATCTTCTTTTACTGAACTAAAAATAGAAAAATATAATAAAAACAATAAAATTATTTACCAAAACATTCAAGACTTATAGGAGTTTTTATAAAAAAATATATATTTGTAGAAAAAAACCAAAAAAATGTTATATTTTGAAAAATTGGATTTTATTAATTTTTTTAAAAGATAAGAAAAATACAAAATATGTTTTAGATATCTGGATTCAAGAACAATTTGCATTATTTATATAATAAGAAATAAAAAATTCTGCAATATAAAATCATATTAAATATCAATATTATTATAATAGTTAACATATTGTATACTTATCTACCTATTTAATACTAATTGGAATTTCTTTATCTTGATTTGATAAAATTAAAGCATATATTAAAAATTACAAATAGGTTAAAATAGTTATAGTAATACAGAATGTAGTTTAATTTAACTAGATTATATTATAATTAATAATCAAATAAACCAAAAATTAGTAACTATCTTAATAACTATACTAATCTTTATAGATTTTCTTTATCTGATCAAAATTTGCAAAGCTTTTTAAAACTCATTGTTTCATTTTCTAAAGACAAAACATTTATTAGTGTTTATAAAAATATGTAACTAATATTAAATCTAATAAAGATGAAGATTATAAGATTTTAGCTTACAGATCATTTTATCAAATTTGAAAAAAAGTTTTATTTCATATTTAGTTTATAACTTAGGATCAGATTTATATAATAAGTATAAACAACTTCATACCAAAATTTGATTTACTAATAATATTAAAAATAAATATGAGAAAATCACTAACTCTTTCCGACGATCACTTGTACCAAATCCTTTCTAAACAAAACTGCTCTTTTCTCAAATTATTATT